GGAAAGAGTAGGTGAACAATCAGAAACCTAGATCTGAGTGAGTTCTTTTTATAATTCTCCCGCCACGCCTTTCTCTGGAGGCTGGGGCCTCACTGAATGTCCTTGAACTACAGCAGTATCTGCACCCCTCATCCCTGCGGTTGCCTGAGAGCTCCCTCTAGAGGTCAGGATGTGTGTGATCAGCAGCTTATTTACCATACTTCATGTTCACATCTGGTCAAGGGTATCCTCCCTCCAAATAGTCATCCTGGAAGATTCAACACTTAATTCAGTGGTGTTGGACACTTTTCAAGAACATTTTGCACATTTATTCAGAACTGTATGTGACTTATTTTTTTGGAACCACTGTAGTGATAGCAAGTATTCATTTTTTCTTCAGAGCAGATTTGGTTTTTTTCTATAAACAGAAATCATTCAGCATGAAATTCGTTGAATAAGCCTCACGTTGAGGTTGTAAATTTGACCTGAAGACAGTTTACGTGACCAAGTTCAGAAATGCCTTGAGTCAGGGCTTCCCTGGGGGCGCAGTGGGTAAGAATCCACCTGCCGATGCAGGTGACACAGGTTGGATCCCTGGTCCGGGAAGATCCCACATGCTGCGGAGCAACTAAGCCTGTGCACCACAACTACTGAGCCCACAAGCCACAACTACTGAGCCTGCATGCCACAACTACTGAAGCCTGCATGCCACAACTACTGAAGCCCACGCACCGCAAGGAAGAGTAGCCCCTGCTCGCCACAACTAGAGAAAGCCCGTGCACAGCAATGAAGACCCAACACAGCCAAAAATAAAGAAAGAAAGAAAGAAAGAAAGAAAGGAAAGAAAGAAATGCCCTGAGTCAAAGCCTCATTCATTCATTCATTCAACAGTAATATTGAGCACATCCTCTGGCAGGCACTGCCCTAGGCTCTGGGGATACAGCAAGACTGATTCTAGCTCACGATGACAAATTAATAATAAATAATAAAACAAAAAATAATAAACAAGTTGCCAAATAAATCTATTTTCTAGAAGGAGAGATACCATGAAAAAGAGTGGAGGTTGCAAGAGGGGTGGCGGGGGCTGGTTTAGAGATGGTGATTAAGGAAGGCTTCTCTGAAAAGGGGACATTTGGGTGGAGATCTGAGTGATGCAAAGCACAAAGCCATGTCACAGTGTGTTCTGGGCAGTGGCAGCAATGAATAGAAAGGTTCTGAGGGAGGACAAGTTTGGTGGGTTTCAGGAACATCAAGGGAGCAGTGTGGGGAGAGTGGAGTAGATGAGGGGGCAATGATAGGAAACAGAATTGGAGGCATGGGACCTGATTCTGAGGATATTGGGAAGCAACAGGAGGACTGGGATTTGCTGGAGTCAGCGCTTGGCTTTCTAGGGTCACTGTTTTGAAAAGTAATATTAATTTATATTTATGACTTAAGGAACAAGTTAGTTAGCTGATGTTATGGTGAGTGGGGTTGGAGGTGGGGAATAAATAAACATCTTTGAATCTGTGTAGACGGTTACTGCAGGAAGGTCCAAGAAAGCCTGGGTGATGAGTTAGGACACTGCAGGCAGGTCCAGAGAGAAAGGGCATGTCTTTTTAAATTTATTCTTTAGTAGTATTTGAATTTTTATCATATGTGTGGTTTTTTTTTTTTTTGCGGTACGCGGGCCTCTCACTGTTGTGGCCTCTCCCGTTGCGGAGCACAGGCTCCGGACGCACAGGCTCAGCGGCCATGGCTCACGGGCCCAGCTGCTCCGTGTCATGTGGGATCTTCCCGGACCGGGGCACGAACCCGTGTCCCCTGTGTCGGCAGGCGGACTCTCAACCACTGCGCCACCAGGGAAGCCCCCCACATGTGTGTATTTTTAAGAAGCGTGTTTATTAATATACCATACGTGTATGTAAGATTTGATCTTTACAGAAGTAGTGTAGCTGTTGTGTTGACAAAAATACAATTCCTCCTTGGAGATAATTTGATAAACATTTAGAGGCTGCTTGGCATTTGGCATTGATACTTAAGCGCTTTCAACAAGTGAATTGTCCTTCTGTTTTCATAGATAACACCTCATTTTTCTATTTCAAATTACATCTTTTGCTCCTTTCCCCAGGCAACAGAAACAGACACCAAAATCAGAGTGTGCACCCGGGCCTACCATCTCCTTTTGAAAAAACTGGCCTTCAATCCAAATGACATCATCTTTGACCCTAATATCCTCACCATTGGTACTGGGATGGAAGAACACAACTTGTATGCTGTTAATTTTATCAGTGCAACAAAAGTCATTAAAGTGAGTATGAGTATTTTTCTCCTTTCTACCCAAGACATTGCTTAGATTTATCACATGGCTCCAGTGAATAGTTTGAGCTAACATATATATTTATTGGCAAGGAATATTGACATTCTTATTCTTAGGTAGTAAATTGGTTTTCTGAAATTTAGGGGCCTTTGTTGTTTTTCTTTTATATGTTATTTTATACTGTGAAGTAAAACACATACCGGGAAATATAGAAAAAATAATAGAGTATGATAAATAATTAATTATGAAGCATATAATAGCTTTCACTTTCACTTGCGTCCTGAAATGGAGCATGGGTAGTGCCCCCATGGCTCTCCCTTTCTCATTACACCCTCATTCTGAATTTTATGCATGTTTCAACAGGCTGAGTTTTATGATTCTACTTTGTTGCTTTTCTTTAAAATTTTATCACTTCTGTATACACAGTCAATCTGAATTATCCATGGATTTTGTATCTGCAAATTCACCTACTCAGTAAAATTTATTTGTGACCCCCAAATCAATGCTGATGGTGCTTCTGCATCATTCACAGGCATATGCATGTGCAGAGTGGTGAGAGAGCTGAGTGCCTGACCTACGTGTTCAGATGAATCAACAGGGTTGAGCCTCTTGGTTCAGCCCTCATTCCGTAAACAAGTGCCCTTTTCATGGTCTGTTTAGTGCCATGATTTTCACATTTTTGAGCTTTTTCTTGGTGATTGATTTCTCTATTTAAATGGCTCCCACGCATTGTGCTGAAGTGTTATTTAGTGTTCCTATGTGCAAGAAGGCTGTTATGTGCCTTATGGAGAAAATATGTGTGTTAGATGAATTTTGTTTAGACACGAGTTGTGGTGCTGTTGGCTGTGAGCTCAGTGGTAGGCAATCAACAATACTAAACAAGATGTCTTTAAATGGAAACACATATAAAACAGGGTTATATGTTGATCAGTGATGATAATTTTGGGACCAGAGGTTCACGAACCTAACCCTGCATTTCCCATTGGAGCACTGATTTTTTTCCCCAATTTGCAGTGTTCGCAGTGACTTCATAGAATATAACTATCACAAATAATGAGAATTAACTGTATAAACAGTATTGTTTTGCCTGTTTTTGAGCTTTAAGATTCTAATGCCTTTTTTCCTCACCCAGTCTCATTTTAACGATTCACCTGTGTTGTTGTAGCTGTACTTTGTCATTTTAATTAATGTATAATATTCCATCATATACCTGTTTCATAATTAACTGTTCTGCTGTTGATAGACATTTGGTTTTCTTTTTTTTTTTTTAATGTTTTAGTTTTGGCTGCATTGGGTCTTTGTTGCTGCCTTGGGTTTTTCTCTAGTTGCGGAGAGCAGGGGCTACTCTTCGTTGCAGTGTGTGGGCTTCTCATTGTGGTGGCTTCTCTTGTTGCACGCAGGCTTCAGTAGTTGCAGCGCATGGGCTCAGTAGTTGTGGCTCACAGGCTCTAGAGTGCAGGCTCAGTAGTTGTGGTGCATGGGCTTAGTTGCTCCGTGGCATGTGGGATCTTCCCGGACCAGGGCTCGAACCCATGCCCCCTGCATTGGCAGGTGGGTTCTTAACCACTTCCCCATCAGGGAAGTCCCTAGATGTTTGGTTTGTTTCCAATTTGGGTATGTTATGAGCAAGGCTGCTGTGAGTGTTCTTGTATATATCTCTTGTATATATCTCTTGTATATATCTCTTGCATGAGCTTCCCTATAAGATATACCCAGAAGTGGAAGGGTTGGGTCACAGTAGCAGACAGTGACCAGCTCTCTCCCAAAATGCTTGAGCAAGTTTGTACTTTAACCAACAGTAAGAGTTCCTGTTGTTCCACACGCATACTAATGCTTGATATGTCATAAGGTGTGGTGGGAACCTCAATTTCCTTTTGCCCTTTTAAACTTAGTCAAGTTTATAGTGAACCTGGGAGTTTGTTCATTTAGGCAATGGAGGCCTTCTAGTAGCTTGTGCCTTCCGTGAATGACCAACTACTCTCTGTCTCTCTGTTTGTTCTCTCTGTCTGTCTCTCTCTCTGTTTCTTTCTTTTTCTGTTATTTATCCAGCAAAGTTTTTTTCTTTTTAGCTGTGCGGTGCGGCATGCAGGATCTTAGTTCCCCAACCAGGGATCGAACCTATGCCCCCTGCAGTGGAAGCGCAGAGTCTTAACCACTGGACTGCCAGGGAAGTCCCTCTCCAGCAAATATTTTATGGCATACTCACCACGTATTTTGGCCCTATCATGGTCCCTGTAGAAGTATACAGAGATAAAGCAGAATTTTTTATTTTCCCTTAGGGAGATTAGAGTCTAGTAGGAAAAACTATGAAGCACTGCCTTTGTCATGTCCTGATATGCAAGTTGTGGTCTACGTCTAGCTAAAAGAAGCTCTGAATTACTTTGAACTCTATATGTTTGGTTTTTTTTTTTTACTTTCCACTGTTATAAATAAAGCTTAAGGGATGTGATTGCTGCTTTTGGCAAAGTAGGGAAATCTTTTCACATTTTAAAACTTTTTCCAGGAAACGTTACCTGGAGCCAAAGTAAGTGGAGGTCTTTCCAACTTGTCCTTTTCATTCCGAGGAATGGAAGCCATTCGAGAAGCAATGCATGGGGTTTTCCTTTACCATGCAATCAAGGTATAGTGGAACACCTGTTTACCTTTTGACACCAACTTTTACTTAGGGCAGGGGTTTACAGACTTCAGCCCACAAACTAACTCTGCTCTGCTTTATTGAGAGTTCTGTGAATACAGTTTTATTAGAACAGAGTCACACACTCTCACTCGTATCCTGTCTATGGATGCTTTTATGCTACAGCAGCAGAGCTGAGTGGTTGCGACAGAAGCTATGGCCTACAGTATTTTCTGTCTGGTTCTTCACAGAAAGAGTTGCTGACTCCAACTTAGAGTATCCCTAGAAATCCTCATTTTTCCTTTTATTGCCCTTAGTTTGGTATGGACATGGGGATAGTGAATGCTGGAAGCCTTCCTGTGTATGATGACATCCACAAGGAACTTCTCCAGCTCTGTGAGGACCTTATCTGGAACAGAGACCCTGAGGCCACCGAGAAGCTCTTACACTACGCCCAGGTAGGGAGAGGTGTTCCGATGGATGGCTTTTCCTATCTTTGAATCTTTCATTCACTTAATGTTATTAGACTTTCACTGTAGAATAGAAGCAAGGATCCAGCCATGTCTTTGAATCATTAAAGGTTTCTACAGAGAGTTCTAGAGAAGATGTTTTCATTAGGGCAAGGAAGGAGAAGCAGGCCTTACCTATCTGCTTCAGTATTCTTATTTATATTTCTTTAAGTTTATTTTAAAATGTAAAATTAATTTTTCTCATACCAAAGTAATACATATTAACTCTAGAAAATGTACAAAATACTGGTAAGCAAAAGAAGAAAATAAAAATTACTCATAATCCTACTACCCATTTTTAACCACTGTTGAGATTTTGTTACAACCTTCTAGTCATGGTTTTGATTTTTTTTTCAATACGAATATGTGCTAATAGGTGTGTCCACACACACACACACACGTACATGCACACTCACACACATTTTTTATAAAAATGTTAACTATATTCTCAATTCTTTTTTGATAACCTGTTTGTTTAGCAGTATACTGGGAACATCTTTCCATTTTATTGGGTATTTTTCTACCTCATAATGTAAATTGGCTACTTTGGACATCTTCTTGTGTGGCTGTGTGATTACCTGGTTCCCATTATTATAGCTTTGTATTTTTACCTGTTTATATTAGAATCTAGTCCAATTGTGGCACAGTTCTACAGTTCAGGGCTTGAGGTCTGTACACATTTGATCTATAGACATGAGAATAATTTTAGTTAATCCAAAAATCAGTTCCTTGTTTCCGTTTATTATGTGTTCGGCAGTCCTGGGTGTATTAAGTATCTATTATCGGTGCTGCTTCCTAGAACTCAGTTTAAGGAAAGATGAGACCTTTACCTCAAGAAAACTTACTTTTTAATTGATTTGAGAAAGTGATAGCAAGGGAAGACATTTTTCTCACAAAGCACGTTGGGAAAGTGGTAGAATGCTTTTGTGTGTGTTGCCACCTGTGTTAATGTTTTCCATGTTAAAATCTGAATTCATCTCTGGCAGAACTGCTAACTTTTCCTCTTACTTCGAAGAGTACTGAAATGTTCTGGAAGAAGGATAGGACAATTTAGGATTAACTGCATCCTTGTATTAGCCTCACGGGAGTCAAGATTTAGATTTATGAAACCACTCATGTTAGCCTTAGGTTCATTCAGCAAAGCTGAGTGGAGTTCAGACTCAGTGCCAGTGAGTACATGACCCTCCTCTCAGTTCCTTGGGACATTTCTGATTTCTCATGTGGACCCAGGACAGAATGTCTTGACTGTTGCAAATATAATCAAATTCTGCTTCACAGCTCATTACATAAGAAACAGTGCCTAGCTTTCCTTCACTATTTCCATGATTGTTTCTACTCAGGTAGACAAAGTGCTTAGCCCAAGACGTGAGTGTGAAACACTATTCAGTTTTTGTCTTAGTCTGCCTTCAACTTAGCGGGGGATCCTTCATGAATCACTGACTAAAACAGGGTTCTGCTGAAGGCCAGAAGGGCATCATAGTTTCTATATCAGGAAATTATACTAGAGCGTTCTTAATTAACCCATAAAGTGATGTGCTGTTTCATCTTCTCCACTGTTCAGGTAAGACAGCTCTCGCTTAGGAAAGGTAGGGCTCCGTAAGCCTATTCTCATAGACGATTTTGCCGGTTTTGTATTTTATATCAGTCATTCTTTTCGATCTTTGTTCACTTTCAGTATTTGCTTACAAGTTTTTGTTTCTCTATATCTTGCTGAGCTGCCAAGATGTTTTGCCCCTGGGGCACAGCTGAAGATTAAGGGGGAAATCTTCATCACAATTGCAAGGGTTCAGGCTTCCCTGGTGGTGCAGTGGTTAAGAATCCGCCTGCCAAGGCAGGGGACATGGGTTCGAGCCCTGGTCCGGGAAGATCCCACACGCTGCGGAGCACCTAAGACTGTGCGCCACAACTACTGAGCCCGCGTGCCGCAACTACTGGAGCCCGCATGCCGCAACTACTGAAGCCCGCGCACCTAGATCCCATGCTCCGCAACAAGAGAAGCCACTGCAGTGAGAAGCCCATGCACCTCAACGAAGAGAGCCCCCGCTTGCCGCAGCTAGAGAAAGCCCGCGCGCGGCAACGAAGACCCAATGCAGCCAAAAATAAATTAAGAAAAAAAAAATTGCAAGGGTTCAACAATCCATCGTATAAATAAGTGCCTCCCTCTTCATGTAAGCACAAGAACTTGTCACAAGCCATTGACCCCTCTGTCAAGTAGGCTGTCTACATTCAAGGTGAATTCTGTTACCAGTAAGGAATTAATAACCAAAACAGGTATGCTTTCATCACTGCCAGGAGTCATCAGCTCTGTAGCCATTCCTCAGGATACACCGAGTGCAAAGAGAGCGTGAAAAGCAGGAATATTATGAGACAAATAAGGGTTGAGGAATTATTTTCTGTATAAGAGAATGACTATTTATTTTTGTTATGAAATGATGAACTCTGCACCCAAGTTTCATCTGATAGATTATTCAATATTATTATTAAAAAGGGTGGAAAGAGTCCTGTCTCTGATCTTCCTAAGCTCTCTAATGGGCTTTATTGAAAAATAATTCCCCTGATTTGGTGCAGGCTGACCTGTGGCGAGTAAGTTCCAGGTGTCATGAGACCATGCATTTCCCGTGGAGTTTGTTTATTAGGCAGTACTCTTTGGGCATGAATGGGGAGGATCTCTGCTCTGGGTGGGATGGCTCGTGAATGGCCTCAGATTGTGAGAATACACAGGTCCCCAACTTACGATGGTGTGAAAGCAGTAAGCACTCAGTAGAAACTGTACTTTGAATTTTGGTCTTTTCCCAGGTGAGCGATGTGCAGTACCATCCTCTCTCCTGATGCTGGGCAGCGGCGACGAATCACAGCTCCCCGTCAGCCCGCCATCACGAGGGGAACAACCACTACACTTACAACCACTCTGGACCCACACAGTCGTTCTGTTTTTCACTTCCAGGACAGTATTTTTTTTTTTTTTAGATTCCAAATATAAGTGAGATCATACAGTATTTGTCTTTCTCTGTCTGACTTATTTCACTTAGCATGATGCCCTCAAGGTCCATCCATGCTGTTTCAAATGGCGGGATTTCCTCTTTTTTATGTCCGAACAATATTTCATTGTATATATATATATATACACCGCACTTTCAATATCCATTCATTCACTGATGAACACTTAGGTCGTTTTCACATCTTGGCTATTGTAAATAATGCTGATATATATATATATATATACACATATATATATATATATATATATATATTTTATTATTATTATTTTAAATTGCCATCTTCTTTAAGGTTTTTCAGCATGTGAGAGAGGCATTGGTCTCTCGACATGTGACAAAGCCCTGCGTCATTCAGTTACCCCAGACCTCAACCCTGGAGCTCCCCCCAGGCCCTTCCTTCTTTCCTACCACACTGTCCATTACTTGATGCCTTTATGTTTGTCCTTTCCTCCTCTTCCTGTTCCTACCGCTGTAGTTCAGACCTTCATCATGGACTGTTAAAGTATTCTCCCCCTTCTAGGGTTCTCTTAAAAATACTACTTTGATGGGAATTCCCTGGCGGTCCAGTTGTTAGGACTCGGTGCTTTCACTGCCAAGGGCCTGGGTTCAATCTCTGGGTGGGGAACTAAGATCCCACAAGCCATGTGGCCAAAAGAAAAAAAAATTACTACTTTGAATGTTACTCTGCAGCTTCAGAACTTTGTATTGTGTCATTCCCCCACCTCCACCCCTACCACCACTGCCTGGAAGGTTAAGTCCAAACTCCAGAGCATGGATTTCTGGCACTCTGTGACTTGGCCTCTACTATCCTGCCCAAATATTGCTCTGGAAAATCCATTCTTGTTCAGGATTAAATCATTCAGCTAATACTTACCCAGCTCTTGTTTTGTGCTTTGTGCTTTCTGTACTTAGAGGATCTAAGTAGTAAGAGAGACGTGCCCCTACAGAGCCTGCAGCTTAGTGAGACATGCAAAAGTGTGTAGAGGCAGTTGTCATCGAGTGTGGTGGGTAGGTGCTGTGACAGGGCATGTATAGGATGCTCTAGACTGCTTAGGAAGGGCGCTGAACCCAAAGGTAGAGGTGGTCAGGGAAAGCCTCCCAGAAATGCTGGGTCAGGTGAGACCTGAAAGCTCAATAGGAGTTAAGCAGGCTAATGTTTGGGGTTGGATTGTACTGGTATTCCCTGCCAGAGGAGGAGGATTTGCGTCTAGCTGGGGCCTGGCATCTGGTAGGTGCTGAATAAATGTCAGGTGAACGGAAGTGAAGGCCCAGGGGTGAAAGAGATGATGGAGAGTGTAAGGAATTGAAACGTTCAAGACGGCTGAGCTCCTCAGGAGTGGCAGAAGATGAAGCTGGGAGAAGTCAGGTCAGGGCATTGTATGGCGTGGAGAGGAGTTGGTACCGTATGTGGAGAGAAATAGGGAACTTACAGTGAATTTTTTCCTACGGGTGCAGTTTGATCAGGTTTGCATTTTGGAAAGGCACCTCTGGCTACAGGGTGGAAGATGCATTGGAGACCAGGGTGATCCTGGGCTGTGGAGACCAGTTAGCTGCTTGCACTAGGAAAGTGGAAGCAGGGTAGAGAGAAAAATTGAGATGATGTAATCATTAGGACTAGGCGATTGATTGAATGTGAGGAATGGATGGAGAGTCAAGAGTGATACTGAGGTTTATGGTTTGGGCAGCTAGTGCCATCAGTGAAGATGGAGGAAACAGATAATGCCATTCACCTTCCATACCATGATCATTGTGCTTTTGTCCCTTTGCTGAATCTGTCAGCTTCTTTGAAGTCTCTCTTCACCACTCCAGTTTGCGATGATATGCAAAATTCCTAGCCTTGTCTGTGTCATCTCCTCATTCAACCCTTGGCAAGTGCTTTCTCTTTAGCTTACCTTTCTCAGTGTATTTCCACCTCCCTTATGATACGGCAAAGTCCCCGAGAGCACAGTCTGTGTCTTGCACCTTGCAGTGTGCCCACCTCCGGGATGATTTCTGACTTAGCTTCATTACAGCCTCTCTGCACATATCTGTGGTAGTGATGGTCCTTGTTGAGACCTTTAAAAGCTCATCAGATATGACGTTTAGCTAGCTTCTCTTACTGTCCTGGAAATCTTTGGTCCTAAGATGCTATCTTTTAGGAAAAAAGGAAATTAAAAAAAAATGGAGCCTCACTCTCTCTACTAAGCATTCAAATCGTAGTGGTGATCATTTTGTGATTATAGAAATATTGAAGCACTATGCTGTGCACCAGGAACTAACATAGTGTTGTAGGTCAATTATGCTTTAAAAACAAACAAACTCGTAGAAAAAGAGATCAGATTTGTGAATACTAGAGGCAGGGATGGTGGGAGGGAAAATAGGGTAAAAACAGTCAAAAGGTACAGACTTCCTCGTAAGATAAGTAAGTACTAGGGGTGTAATGTACAACATGATAAATATAATTAATGCTTCTGTATATTATATATGAAAGTTGTTAAGAGAATAACTCTTGAGAGTTCTCATCACAAGAAAAAATGTCTTTTTTAATTTTGTATCTATATGAGATGATGGATGTTCACTAAACTTACTGTGGTAAACATTTCATGATGTATGTAAGTCAGCTCATTATGCTGTATACCTTAAACTTACACAGTGCTGTATGTCAATTCTATTTTAATAAAACTGGAAGGAAAAAATTTTTTAAAAATTAAAGTTCAAATCCTAAAAGACTTCTCTCTTTCCGTCTCTCCTTACCTCAAACATTTACCAAGATCTTAATTCATGCTGGGTACTCTACTAGGGCCTTGAAATGTAAAAGAAGAATAAGGCATAGTTTGTTTCTGCCCATTAGCTGAGTAAGTGACCTATTGTATTATCTCTCTGTCCAAATTTCAATCCAGACTCAGGGCAAGGGAGGGAAGAAAGTCATCCAGACTGATGAGTGGAGGAATGGCCCCATCGAAGAACGCCTTGCATATGCTCTTGTGAAGGTGAGTGTGGGCTGGAGGCTGGGGCTCGTCCTGGGGGCGGATGATGTGGCTGGAGGGGAGGTGCTAAAAGCAGCTGACAAAGGAGTTTCCCTGAACCACCCTGGGTGATTTTGCCCTCCATGCCCCCCACCTCCAGCACTTTTGGTAGTATCTAGACATACTTTTGGTTGTCCCAACTGGCGGTGGAAGCTTTTACTGGCATCCAGTGGCCAGCGGTGCTGCTGAACTGACCATCCTACAATGCACAGGATAGGCCTGCACCACAGAGAATTATTCAGTCCAAACTGTCAGTTATGCCGAGGTTGAGAAATGCTGTCCGAGACCAAGTTGCTGTCGTTTGGTCAACAAGCGAATCCTGGCTCTTCTGCTATAATTGGAATTTTCGGCCAGATAAATAATCTCTTGGCTTCAATTTCCTCATTTGTGAGTCTGGAAAATTTCAGAGTTTTTTTTTTTTCTTTTTAAATTTATTTATTTTGGCTGTGTTGGGTCTTCTGTTGCTGCGCATGGGTTTTCTCTAGTCGTGGTGAGCGGGGCCTACTCTTGGTTCGGTGCGCGGGCTTCTCATTGCAGTGGCTTCTCGTTGCAGAGCACGGGCTCTAGGCACGCGGGCTTCAGTAGTTGTGACTCACGGGCTTAGTTGCTCCGTGGCATGTGGGATCTTCCCAGACCAGGGCTCAAACCCGTGTCCCCTGCACTGGCAGGCGGATTCTTAACCACTGCGCCACCAGGGAAGCCCCAGAGTTCTTTTTTTGCCTCTAGAATTTAACTTTTAATTTCTTGGACTTTTGAGATTCACCTACTTCAGGTTGTGGAACTAGTCAGCCACCTCTAAGGATCTTTGAACTGGGGATGCTGGAGGATTAGGGCCTGACCAGTGAAGGCAGGACAAGTCAGTAGAAGCTTCATGGACTGAACTTCGTCTAAGTGTCCTGCCCATTGTTATTCCTCCCCCCACCCAGCCCTGTAACATTACAGTGAGAAAACATACTGTTTTCACAGGAGATATTTGTTAATATATAACCTGTTAAACCACTAGGAAAAAAAGTGTATTTTATTATGAATTTGAGCTTAACTTATTAGTACTCCTTCTGTCACTAATTTTTCACTTTTACTCAATACTTACTTTATATTAATAAAGCCAGCTAAGCACTTTACATGGGTTATCTCATTTAATCCTCAGAATAACCACATGAGGTTGGTACTGTGTGATATATTAATCGAGGAAACTGAGGTTTAATGAATTGTTTAAATTAGTGATAGGAGCCAGGGTTTGAACAGTCTGATTCCAAAACCCATAATCTTAAGTATTTCCATGATTTATTCTTTGTTGGCTATTTGAACTTAAGCCAATTTTTTCTGTGATATTTTTCCTATTTTTTTTTTGTGTGTGTGTGTGTAGGGCATTGAAAAATACATTATTGAGGATACTGAGGAAGCCAGATTAAACCAGGAAAAATATCCCCGACCTCTGAATATCATTGAAGGGCCACTGATGAATGGCATGAAAATTGTTGGTGATCTTTTTGGAGCTGGAAAAATGTTTCTACCTCAGGTTGGCAAATGATGGGGGGAAATTTTCACAATTGAAAGAAAAAGCCTTTATCTTTTAATGCATAGTAAGTTTGGGTATATTTCTCAGGTTTTAATTTTGACAAGAGCTCAGGGGCATTGAGATGTGATTCTGGTCATTCTTTCTCTAAATTCATTTTTAGGAGTAGTCTGGAAAAGTCCTTCTAGGCTGGTGTGGAGGTTAGAGGTCATCTGGATATTCCCAGCATTCTAGTCTTCATGTTCTGGGCTCCTATATCACTTCTTATCCTAACACATGTCTCTCCTCCACCCCCTCCACCCCCAAATTGAAATAAAACCCAAGTTATACAGAGTGCATTAAGTCAGAGAAAAACAAATACCGTATATTAACGCATATATGTGGAACCTAGAAAAATGGTACAGATGAACCGGTTTGCAAGGCAGAAATAGAGACACAGATGTAGAGAACAAACGTATGGACACCAAGGGGGGAATGTGGCGGGGGGTGGTGGTGGTGGTGGTGGGATTAATTGGGAGATTGGGATTGACATGTATACACTAATATGTATAAAATGGATAACTAATGAGAACCTGCTGTATAAAAATAAATTAAATTAAAAAAAATAAAACCCAATATTAATGTAAAATTATCATATTAAGATATGATTTGACCAGCCAGTGCTCATCCTTAAGGATGAATATTTTGAAAAGGTCATTACCATTTTAAATAGTGATATACATTAAATGATATATTTCAAGTAAAACCAGTACTCTTACTCTTATTTTGACTTACAGCAGCTACTGACCACATCAGTTAACAAGTCATGTTGAGCCTTCTGGGTTCAGGTCTGTGAGGCATACAAAAAATGAAAAGTCCCTGTTCTTTTTTTTTTTTTTCTTATTTAACTTTTCTTAAAAATTATAGTTGATTTTTTAAAAACTAATTCTACATTTAATTATTCATTACCCATTTCCCATTTCCTTCATAGCATTCATCTTTTCTTATAGCTTTATTGTTTTATAATTAATATACAATAAACTGAACGTATTTAAAGGATGCAGTTTGATAAGCTTTAACATGTCTGCACCTGTGAAACCATAATCACACTCAAAATAAGGGGCATTCAGTTGTCCTGTCTTAGTCTCCCCCCGTCTGGGGCAGTTCCTCAGTCTTTATTTTTCATGATGTTGACTTATTATTTTAACTTTTTACTTTTGAGTTAACTTTAGACTTACAGACAAGTTGCAGATGTAGTTTAAAGTGTCCATGTATCCCTCACTCAACTTCTTCCCCTAATGTTAACATTTTCACTTGATCATAGTACAGTTATCAGAACCGGGAAGTTAGCATTGGTATAATACTGTTAACGAAAGACCTTATTCAAATTTCACCACTGTTTTCGCTGCTGTTCTCTTTGTGTTCCACAACCCCACATTGCTTTTATCCTGCCTTTTCTAACAGTTCCTTAGTCTTTCCTTGTGACCTTGACTTTTGAAGAGTATAGTACAGTTTGATAACAGTAGCCTGTCCCTCAGTTTGAATTTGTCTGATGTTTTTTCATTTTTGGCAAGAATAACACAGTATAATGCTGTGCCCTTCTCGGTGGATCGTATCAGGAGGCCCATCATGTTGCTGTGTCTCATTACTGGTGAGGTTAACTTTGATCATTTGGTTAATGGTGCCTGCTATGTCTCTCCACTGTAAATTTACTTGTGGGGAGAAACTTTGAGACTATGCAAATATCCTGTTTCTCATCCCACTTCTACTCATGAATTTTAGCATACGCTGATGAATTTTATAAAAGACCCTGTTCTTTTTTGTCTATTTAATAAATTTGACATGTTATGTTTTGTAAATTTAAAGTGCACAGTGATACATTTACATATTGCAATATGATTGCCATTGAAGCAATTTTTATCACACTGTATCATTATAGTACAATATTATTGTCTATATTCATTATACTGTGTGTTAGATCTCTATGGCTTATTTACTTGTTACAAGTTTGTACCCTTAAATACCATCAGTCATATCTTCCCATCCCCTATCCTTTGGTAACCACCATTTTACTCTCTGTTTTATTTTGTTTATTCTTTCCTGTTTGCCTTTTTCAGGTTCCGCATGTAAGTGATATCATACAGTACTTATCTATCTCTATCTGATTTATCTTGCTTAGTATAATGTACTCAAGATCCATCTATGTTTTTTGCACATGGCAGGATATCCTCTTTTATCATGGCTGAATTATATTCCATTGTATATATATGTACCACATCTTTTTTATCCATTCATCTGTTGATGGGCGTTTGGGTTGTTTCCATGTCTTGGCTACTATAAATAATGCTGTGATAAACATGGATGTGCAAATATCTTATCGAAATCCTGTTTTCATATCATTTGGGTTTATACCCAGAAGTGGAATTGCTGGATCGTGTGGTAGACCTATTTTTAATTTTTTAAAGAGCCTCCATATTGTTTTCCATATAGTTGGACTAATTTACATTTCCACCAACAGTGCATAAGAGTTCTCTCTTCACCACATCCTCACCAGCACCTGTTATTTCTTATCTTGATGATGGCCATTCTAACAGGTGCGAGGTGATATCTCAATGTGGTTTTGATTAGCATTTCCCTGATGATTAGTGGTGTTGAGCATCTTTTCATATGCCTACTGGCCATTTTGATATCCTCTTTGGAAAAATGTCTTTTTAGTTCTTCTGGCCACTTTTTAATCGGAATATTTGGTTTTTTGTTATGAAGTTGTGTTGGTTCTTTATATATTTTGGAAATTAATCGCGTATCCAATATATGTTTGTGAAATTCTTCTCCAATTCTGTAAGCTTTAAAAGGTCCTTTTTTGCATAAGCCTTAATCGTAAGTGAATTATAACAGTGAGGATTGAGCAGAGAAGGCTGACAAGGGGCTCTTGGAGGAGAAGCTTGAAACCTGAAGGATGTATAGAACTTGGAGATGTGATGGAGGGCCTTCTAGGCAGAGAAAAAATAACGTGCAGAAGTTCAGAGGACAGAAACTGCAACATTTGGTTTCTAGCCTTGTTTTCCTTCTGCTCCACCTCATTCATTGACTTTCCTCACGGGGATCTCCTTCCTTACCCCACCCACTGTCATAAGTGGACTCCAGGGTGGCTGACCTAAGGACAAAGCATGCATAATAATTTGTGCTAAAATTTCACAAGTGGCCAATAGCAGTCATCCAGGTGTTCTGGTAAAGTTACCTGACTCTGTGTATTTACCCCAGGTTATAAAGTCAGCTCGGGTCATGAAGAAAGCCGTGGGTCACCTTATTCCCTTCATGGAAAAAGAGAGAGAAGAAACCAAAGTGCTTACTGGCACGATAGAAGACAAGGTGAGTCATTTTGTCCGAGCCGGTGGGCCCTGTGGGGATCGGCTCTGCACACTCTTACTGGGGTGTGGGTAAGGACCTAAGCCATCAGGCTTGGCTGTGTTTGTCATTGAAGATGAGAGGGAGGAATGATGCAGCTCTTTTACCAAATATCAGAATACCCTGGGATTTTTCCCATAAATGTGGCTTCATGAAATTTTTAATAGGAACATAATTTTTCAAACAAAGCCCATGATTTCAAGACAAAAGCAGTTTGTTCATTCATCTACTGACTATTTACAAAGCTCCTACTATGTGCCAGGTACTATGCTTGACACTGTAGCTAAAAAAGATTGGTCCCTACCCTTGAGATGCTGTTTAGTTTTGGAAAACCTCTTAACCTCTTAACTGAATATTTCCTGTGTGCTGGTCATGTTCTTGTCATCACTTCTGGATTCAGATCCATTCTTGTTGGCTGTACCACCACAGTAAATCATTAAGCTTTTGACCTTGTTTAGCCCCCTGTGAAGCTCAGGCAGCTTTGGCCCCTAGGATTCTGAATTCTAAAATCGATCTCAGTTTGTGAATGCCTCTTGCATAGTGTTTATAAAAATCCCATTTGCCTTGTGTGCCTTTTTCTTTTCTTTTTCTCTTTTCTTTTCTTTTCTCCCTTCCTTCCTTCCTTCCTTCCTTCCTTCCTTCCTTCCTTCCTTCCTTCCTCCCTCCCTCCCTCCCTCCCTTTTTCCGAGGGAGGGAGTGCTGACAGTCTGGAGCAACAGTGTTGAAGCCCCCCTGCACTGGGCTGTTGTGGTCCTTCCCATTCTGACAGGACATGTGAGATTCACCGGCTCCTCCCTCTCCCTTTACTGCTAACAGTGAACGTTTATCAGACAGGTTTTGGGGGTTAAGGATATGATCTTCAGCGATGGGACTGTTCTGTATTTGAACTTAAACTGTCCTTTGAGATGATGGAATGCATGATCTTGGTTGAAGCCCACTGAGCTAACCAGCTGGGCGGGCCTCCTTCGAGCTGCAGGGGCTTACAGCCGCCTTCTCACAGAACACGGGACTTGGCTTCTGGGTCCATCTTTTTTTTTTTTTTTTTGGCCATGCCACGCAGCATGTGGGATCCTAGTTCCCCGACCAGGGATCAGACCCACACCCCCTGCATTGGAAGCCTGGAGTCCTAACCACTGGACCACCAGGGAAGTCCCCCGGGTCCATCTTTGAGGTTGCCTTGAATTGCTTTCTGTGCTGATACCTGTCTGGCTTTGGAGAACTGGGTGATCTGCTCTGAAGTGACCACAGCGATGCTTAGCTGCTTGGCTTCCTCTCCAGGACCCTTACCAAGGTACCATTGTGCTGGCTACCGTTAAAGGCGACGTGCACGACATTGGCAAGAACATAGTTGGAGTAGTCCTTGGCTGCAATAATTTCAGGTGAGTTAAGACCCGTCGTTTTCACCCCCTTTCTTATTTAAAATAAAAGCATTAACAGGGTAATTCTTTACTGGGTGCGAAAGGCAGGGTAGGGCAGTAGATGTTATAGATTATTTTAAATTTTTCTTCACTGTGTTTTCAAATTTTCTACATTGAACATACCTTTTCAAATGAAGGAAGTTAGTAATTATTTAATGTTGTATTTCAGTAAGGACAAAAAGAATAGAAAAAACTATTCAAGCAGTGTCAAAACAACAAGAGGCCTCTGGGGATTTGACCTCCAGCCAGAGGCTAGAACATTGGGTCCCACCCCATGGCCCATGACATTGAGCATATTTCCCTTTTCCTCTCAATGAACTGCCAGATTTTTAGAGCCAAGATGTTATTAAGACCTTGGCTAAGTAGAGTTTTATAAGAAGGCTTTGACTGTGCCGTTCTTTTTGCTTTGCTTAGAACAGAACCAGGCATGCCTCCTGGTGTTGATGAAGCTAGTTTTTGAATGTTGTATACAAGTAAAATCCCTTTCTTATATCTTTCATTATAGTTGAATGATTATTCAGCGCAAATTTATTTCTATGTGAGAGCTCATGACCCACAGTAAGAGCATGTTTTGCTCAGATTTCAACATATTCTTTGTAATGAAAAGCCTAATATAACTAATGTCTTCTCTGGCCCATGTCCAACCAACAGTCTCTGAATCATGGACTTCTTTCCAATGTGCGTTTTTCTCTGTAGAGAAGAGAGACTTGACTGCAGCTACAGCCGGGCCCCCTTGCAGTTGTCTTTGCCCACTGTCGGATAATAATTACCCTCTAAGCCCCCTGCCTACTCTCAAAATGTTTATCCATGTCTGCGTTCAAGGTTAATTAAATGCAGCTAAGAACCACTCAGAAAGGCTGGAGATGGAGGAGCAGTGTGAGGGCGGCACCTTCTTCCCTCTGACTGTCTTCACAGGCATTTCCGTTTGGCTGCCTGTTCACTATCAAAGACTTAGCATTCTCTCCTGGTTCTGGAAATGAGGAATATTGTTCTTGGAATATATTAATTTTTTTTAAGATAAAAATACTGGAGATACAGTGGAGGTTGTTATAATGAGATTTTACCTATAGGATAAGTATTTGGACAAGAAATAAGTATTTGGATGAGGTATTTGCTTCCTAAAATCTCTGACATTTCTTCTGTTGTCTCATCTTTTCAAACCCTATGTTGTTGGTTTCTATTTGCATTCATCATAATTAGTTCAAATTCAGTTACGCTGATAAATGTTTATATATCATCTACTACATACCATGCATTGTATCAGAGACACCAAAGTGATTGAGTTGACTTTTCTCCATTCAAGAACTTTACTGTTGGGCTTCCCTGGTGGCGCAGTGGTTGAGGGTCCGCCCGCTGATGCGGGGGACGCGGGTTTGTGCCCCGGTCTGGGAAGATCCCATATGCCGCGAAGCGGCTGGGCCCGTGAGCCATGGCCGCTGAGCCTGCGGGAGGGGCCTCAGCAATGAGAGGCTCCCCGGGCCACAAAAAAAAAAAAAAAAAAAAAAGAACTTTACTGTTTATCAGGCTAAAAAGCCAGGAACATATTCAGTGGTGATAGTGGGACAAGAACTATTGAAAAGGCAATTTGTAGACAAACTCTCTACAGCAGTTCTTGAGATATCATTGTCATGTGTTTATCATTTTTTTTATGAAAAATGGACAAGTAGCTGAGAGAATCATACCAGGAATGTTTTTTCCTCCAGTTAAAACATTTTAAGGGACTTCCCTGGTGGCACAGTGGTTAAGAATCCGCCTGCCAATGCAGGCGACACGGGTTTGATCCTGGTCCGGGAAGATCCCACATGCTGTGGAGCAACTAAGCCCGTGCGCCACAACTACTGAACCTGTGCTCTAGAGCCAGCAAGCCACAACTGCTGAAACCCATGGGCCTAGAGCCCATGCTCCACAACGAGAGAAACCACTGCAATGAGAACCCTGTTCACCGCAACGAAGAGTAGCCCCCACTCGCCGCATCTAGAGAAAGCCTGCATGCAGCAATGAAGACCCAAAGCAGTCAAAAAAAAAAAAAAAGAGGCCAGGGAAAACTGTGACCAGCATACCCAGTTCCTCTGGCTTGTGCACTGGGGGCCACTTATCTGGAGTAACTGGACAAACATCTTCTGATGAAATTCTATTCTTTTTGCAAAAAAAAAAAAAAAAACAATAAGTTAATGTGCAAACTTTTTCTATTAGGTCAAACATTCCTTTGGGTCTTATGTCTTATAACACATAGACTCTTGGCACTGGTGGGTTTAATGTTATGACATCAGCTAGTAGACAGGTGCCCCTGATAGCTGCTTTATGTAGTTAAATGTATGCTTTTGCTGGGTATCCATGTTCCAGCTGATGCCTGGGTGAATCACCCAGCTAGTGAGTGAGTCTAGCAAACCATCCAGTACCAGATATTAGTGCAACTTTCTCATTCCTGGTTCTTTGTCGCTGATGCAGTAAATCTCATGAAGAGACATGTTCTTCGTGGGGGAAAAAAGAAGTAAAGAGGACTGAAAGTGATAGTTCTGTCTAGACAGAAAACACATTTTTTATGGGGATGATGCAATAGAATTTGCAGATTTGAGAATTTAAATGGATCTGGGGATGTGTCCACCAAGAGTTTATTAATACCTAACATTTGTTTTCTGCTTCACAGTTTATATAGTGCTTTTATATAACTGATTTTTCTTTTTCTTTGTTTTTTGGTATTCTTTTCCTGATTCCTTCCTTCCTTCCTTTCTCCTTCCCTCTTTCTTTCTTTCTTTTTGTTCATTCTTTCTTTTTATGGTTTTGATCCTGCTTTGCCTGCCTCAATTATTGTATTTCTCATTTTACACAGCTAGCAAGTGGCAGGCTGTACTCAGGGCTTCTGAATCCAAAAGTCGGGATTCTATGTTATGTCAGTTTAGCTTCCAGTATTTATTCCAGTTATAAACAACTTTAACTGTAATGTATAATATTAATATGCTAGTTAAATTCCTCTGAAGAAATAATTTAGAATACTTAAAAACATTTTTGATCAGATATTTGATTACATGAAAGTTGATTTTAGATATACTCTTTAATAATACTTACATAAAGAGACAAATGTGGACTTTTTGCATTTAACAGATAATGCACACTGTTTAACTGGGTAAGAAAAAGTAGGATATATTAAAAGAAATGTTAAAATTAGATATACATCTAGTACTTTAAAAAATATGGATCTGAGGAAACAGATAATGAGGCATATTTTCCTTTTAACCAGTGGTTCTTAATATAATTGTCTAGTATGGGTAAATAATATGCAATATATGGCTAAGAAGGGGACACTTTGAAACTGTGTAATGTTAGAGCTATCAGCTGAGTGAGGAAAACGACTGTATCTAAGTCAAGGGCACACTAGAGACTTCTCCTAGCACCTCAACATGCTCTCTTTATAATTATTCGGAGGCTTTCAACTGTGTGTGTGTGTGTGTGTTTGTCTGTGTCTGTCTGTCGTTTTCCAGCTTAATTGAGATATAATTGACATATAACATTGTTTAAGGTATAAAATGTGTTGATTTGATACACATATATTGCAGTATGATCACCACCATAGTGTTAGCTAATAACACCTCCATCACATCACATAATTACCATTTCTTGTTTGTGGTGAGCACATTAAGATCTACTTTCTTAACACTCTCAAGTATATCATACAGTATTGTTAACTCCATTCACAGTGCTGTGTATTATATCCCTAGAACTTATTCATCTTCCAACTGGAAGTTTGTACCCTTGACCAGCATCTCCCCATTTCCCCACCCCTCAGCCCCTGGTAACACCTGTCCTACTCTCTGTTTCTATGAGTTCAGCTATTTTAGATTCCCCATGTAAGCATATCATATAGTATTTGTCTCTCTCTGACTTATTTCACTTAGCATAATGCCCTCATAGTCCATCCATGTCATAATGGCAGGACTTCCTTCTTTCTTATGGCTTCTTATGGTTCCATCGTATGCATGTATCACTCCTGCTTTATCCATTTATCTGTTCTTAACCACAGCTTGGAAACCTTAGTTGGGGCTGCAGACTGGTATGGCACTCCCATCTACTGGTGGTACCTGTGAATTGCAGGATCAGAAGAAGCTGCCACCTTTAACTTATTTCACATGACAGCAAATATGAGGCACCCTAAGTGGATGCAGATGCAAAGCCAGCTTTATATTTCATTTTAATTCCTTCTGGAGAGTAAAAGGGGCTTTGTATATTACAGTATTTATTTTCTAAATTGTATGAATTCTTAAATAGTATTGGATGCCTTTGCTAAGGCATTTAGTGCAGCTTACATTTTTTTCTGTATTAGAAACCCAAATTAAGTGCTTGCATTTACAGCTCTGTTATAAGCACTTTAGAAAGATGATTATAAAATACAAAATTTTCCATAACATCATTTTTATTTTCTTTAATCTCTCATGTGGCAAAATATAAGAATGTGTATAAGAGGCCTACAGACACAGGGTATAGCTCAGAGTGAAGAAGGGAAACCAAGGGAAAGCCAAGGGAGGTGGAGAGCTATATGGGGGATGCAGGGAGTTGTAGTAAAGGGGAGAGAAAATGGGAAGAGATGGTGGGAAGAATGGCGGCTGCCACGGAAGGCAGGGATGGGATTGACCCAGGCTTCAGATCCTTTCCTTCAGCCAGGGTTCCCCAGGTCCAGTTGTTTGTGATTCTGGACCTTCATAGTACTAGTTTCTGCCTGGGTGGCCCTCTGTTTTCCTTCATCCAGCTAATACCTACATATTTTTTCAAAATGCAGCTGGAATCACCCTCCTGGGGTGCTTCTGGTTGTTACCGAGATTAGATGGTCTCCCACAGCACACTGTAAATGCCTCCTCTGTGGCACTTGTCACACCATATTCTAATTCAGAATATGAATTAGAATTCATATTCTAATGAACTCACATGTGCTCAGAAACTGATCCCCTTCTTCTGGGGTGAGGCTGGGGACAACCCCAGGCCTAGAATGGTTGTCCCTGGTGGTGAGCAGCCTCCTTCCTGTATTCCAGTGCCATAAATACTACTTGCTATGTGTGGAAAACGTTGGGAAGTGCTCCTCTAAACAGTGATATATTTGACTGTCTCCCAGCAAGACCTCTTAAGGCAGCCTAATACGTTGGAAGTTGAACTTGCACCCGAGACCCCTGGCTCACTGTTTCCAGACCTCTTCTTACCTGCCTGACTGCCGATTGTCACTCTCTTGCTGATTTCTCCTTTTCTGTGCAACCCCTGAACAGGGGAGTGCTCCGAGGCTCAGCCCTAGGACCTCTTCTCTGTCTGTCCTCACTACCTAGGTTAGTGCTTCTTGGACTGTAATGTGCCTTCTGACCACCTGGGATCTTGATAATCAAGTCAGATCAGGTTAAAGTAGGTCTGGTCAGATAGTCTTAGATCATCTCATTCAGCCTCATCACTTTTATTTTCTTGCCCCTCTCCCCTTTCATCTCCCCCCCTTCCCCTCCTCTCTCCCCGCCTTCCCTCCCCCCTTTCTCCCCACCCTCCACCTGCTTTTGGCAATTTATTTTTCTACATCTTTTACACACGGTCTGAGGACTTTTTAACACCATCTAATATGCTGTCAAGTCCCAGGTTTTATCCCCAGCATGGATCTGGCACCTGGACTCCAGGCTTACCTATCCAGATGACTACTTAAGGGCTCCATTTGGATAGCTAAAGAAACAATATTTTGAAAATCGAACTAATCGCTGCCATTAAGATGCCCTCTACGGGGCTTCCCTGGTGGTGCAGTGGTTAAGAATCCGTCTGCCAGTGCAGGGGACACAGGTTTGAGCCCTGGTCCAGGAAGATCCCATATGCTGCGGAGCAACTAAGCCTGTGGGCCACAACTACTGAGCCTGTGCTCTAGAGCCCGCGAACCAGAACTACTGAGCCCGCTTGCCACAACTACTGAAGCCCGTGCGCCTAGAGCCCGTGCTCCACAACAAGAGAAGCCACTGCAATGTGAAGCCCACACACTGCAATGAAGAGGAGCCCCTGCTCGCCGCACATAGAGAAAGCCCGCACGCAGCAACGAAGACCCAATGTGGCCATAAATAATAAATAAATAATAAAAATTAAAAAAAGAAAAAAAAGATGCCCTCTTCTCCCCCTCTGACCTTACTCCCTACAGCTTTCTCCTTCCTCCATTTCTGTCCAGCCACGAGGTCTCCTTACTTTTCCTCAAACAAAAGCAAGCATCACACGATGTTCCTGAATGATGCAGTGCCTAAAACAAGAAAAAGAATTGAGAGCAAGATGATTCTTGCCATCATACTGATGATTTTTAATTGAATTTTAAAAATATATGCAATGCTAAAAGCAGTCAGCTTTGAAATACATGCCTCTTTGTCTTGATAAAAAAGCAATATGCTATTTTGCTTAGTTTTATAGGCTGTATTTAGTCACAGTTTAACAAATCTAGTTGCCAGACTGAGTGCAATGTGCTAAAAAAAAAAAAAAAGGGTCCCACCTTGCCCCTGTTATAACCTTCAGTGCCCCATCATCAACACTTACAGCATTTGTTCTCTACCGGCTAGTGCTAACAGACCTAAATAGAGTTAGCATTGATTTGAAATTGTGTACTTACTGAGGATTCCATATGTGCTAGTTTATTATTTTTTAAATTTAAGTAATATGGCAACAAGCTAAAAAATCTAACAGTATGAGAAGCTATATAGTGAGAAGCAAGGCTCCTTCCTGCCCCTGGTGTCCAACTACACCCACCTGTTAGCAGCTGACATGATGTCAGGTAGTAGTTCTTAAGCATTGATTTTTTTTTAATTTAAAATTATTTTGCCTATTTAGTTTTAAGAATTGTTGACATTAGGAAGCAAGTGAAAACGCGTACTGTAATTTTTTAAACATCTTTATAACAAATACTTATGATCAAATTAAATTGTCGGGGCCTCCCTGGTGGCGCAGTGGTTGGGAGTCCGCCTGCCCATGCAGGGGATACGGGTTCGTGCCCCGGTCCGGGAGGATCCCACATGCCGCGGAGCGGCTGGGCCTGTGAGCCATGGGCGCTGAGCTTGCGCGTCCGGCAACGGGAAAGGCCACGACAGTGAGAGGCCCACATATCGCAAAAAAAAAAAAAAATTAAATTGTCAAAATGACTGACATTCCGTGTACTCTCTAAATCTAGAATAGAAGAGTAGTTTATAGAACATTTTCAAGGGCAGAAGTCCCATTTTCTCCGAGTTCCAAAAAGCTGTCTCCTCCCTGAGTTACAGTTCCTTGGTGTTACTCTGTCCTCTGAGCGTGACAGGCTCCAGGCTTCCTCTGCCCAGTTGCGTCCCCCTTCTCATGTGCCCGCCCAGGGTCAGCGCTTCCTTTGAGTCTCACTCCATCTCTGGTGGTTACCTGCTCTCTGATTCAGTCTCCCTCTCCCTCGACTTAAGTCACCAGATTCCTTCTCGTCAGCTTTTCATGTGCAGGAACTGACCTCTTCCTGCTTATCCTCCTAGTTGGCTTCCATGTAGGGTATACTGTTCATTTGATATTTATTGAGTGAACTTACCCAGCATCTTTATTGGCCTGCATGGCTAAGAAGATGGATTTTGGTGTCAGATCCTGGTTCAAACCTCAGCTCTGCTACTGATTAGTTGTTTGACTGGACAAGATGCTTAACTTCTGGGCCCACACTTCTCTGGGCCCTTCCTCATTAAAATGTAAAAATCATGTTTTCAAGAATTTAAAAAAAAGAGTGTTAATTGGTAAAACCTGCCTCAAAATCGAGGTTAAAATATGAATCAAGCATCATAAAAATATTTATATTCTTTAACACAATAATGCCATTTGTATTAATCCATCCAGTGTATATATTTGGATAAATGCATGAAGTAAAATATGAAAACAAACCACAGAAAATGGGCCCCATGGTAGTGCTTCCATGGAGAGTTCCTATGAGGGTTAAACAAGATTGTTTATGCAGAAGGCTTAGCATAGTGGAAACAACCCAGGTGTCCATTGACAGATGGATGAATAAACACCATGTGGCACATTCATACAATGGAATATTATTCAGCCTTAAAAAGGAATGAAGTTCTGACACAGGCTACAACGTGGAGCAACCCTGAAGTCATTAGGCTAAGTGATATAAGCCAGACACAAAAGGACAAATAATGTATGATTCCACTTGTATAAATATCCAGACTAGGCAAATTCATAGAGACAGAAAGTAGAGTAGAGGTTACCAGGGGCTGGGACGGGCCGATCAGGGATTGTTGCTGAGGGATTACAGAGTTTCTTTGGGGGCGATGAAAGAGTTTTGAAAATAAATGCTGGTGATGGTTGCACAACATTGCGACTGACTGATTAGTGATGCTGAATTGTACTTAGGTTAATATGGCAAATTATGTGTTATATATATTTTACCAGAGCTTAGGAAATAATAGTGTCCTCTACCAAAAATTATTGAATTGTCTACTTTAAATAGGTGGATTAAATGCTCTGTGGATTAAGTTGGCAAAGGTGTTTAAAAAAGCTCAGGATAGTCCCTGACCCATGGTCAGTTCCTAATAAATGGCAGTCGTCGATGAGTTGGTGGTGGATATTTAGTGAGCTTTTCAGTGTGATTACAGTTTACGTTAGAGCAGTATTTAATGGCTAAATAAAAATGTTCGTCTAGCTTTTTCCCAATGGGCTCTCATTAATTTTTTCACATCTCATTTCTGTGCCCCAGAGTTATTGACTTAGGAGTCATGACTCCATGTGACAAGATACTGAAAGCTGCTCTCGACCACAAAGCAGGTACTGTGCAGCCGTGCTCCTGGGCATATCAGTAAATACCATTTCCTCCCATTGTCTGTCTATCGGTGAACAGCCATGCCCCAGCCCATGTGGGATGGTGGGACATTCAGACATTCAAGTGCTAGCTCTGCCTGGGGGTGCTGTCATTGCTGTTTATAATGGAGGTCGAAGGGGTGAGCAGGTAACCGTGAAACTCCTTTCTAACTATGAGGAAGGGGAATGGGGACAGGCTTCTTAAATAGAGAACAGTTTTATTAGATTTTTTTTTTCTCTATGTGTAGTTGCTTTTATGTTTCTTCTGACACTGTGACACGTTGAGTCTGGCAAATCATGAATTAACAATTGCGTGGCTTCCCGAAACTGTGGCAAGCATATTATTGCAACTTGAAGTTGCAAATCATATTTACTCCTGAAAGCAAACAATAAATTGAAAACCCCCAGTCAGAAAAGAAGCCTCAGAATTAGAAATTGGGAATTTATCCTCTGTCTTGTGGTCTTTATTACAAAGTTTTGAAAATGAGTCTTCATACTTTTCCTCTCATCTTCCTTCTCACTGTCCTTTTTTCTCTTTTTTTAAATAATAGATATAATTGGCCTGTCAGGACTAATCACTCCTTCCCTGGATGAAATGATTTTCGTTGCTAAGGAAATGGAGAGATTAGCTATAAAGATTCCGTTGTTGATTGGAGGAGCTACCACTTCGAGGTAAGTCATGCTAATGAGCTTTGTGCTTCCCTTAAATGCCAGTGTTTAAAAACAGTGATAAAACCTGACTTTTTTTCTTATGCATAGTGCTTTGGCTCCTTATTATATAAATACACGAACTTTCCAGCCTTCACACCACTAGAGCCAGAATCATTTGGGGGCCTGCTGCAGGAAACTCCTCTGTCATCTACCCCCCTCTCCCTGTTTTTGGATTCCTTTGGCCTGCAGTCCTCTTTTCCTTCGTCTTCTCACCTCCCATTCAGTTCCTGAGACTTTTGTTTTGTTTTGTTTTGTTTTTTTTTTGTTTTTTTTTTTTTCAGTTCTCACCCTGTTCTCGTCACTGCCCTATCTTAGTCTAGAAAGCTGCCATGCTTAAGCGACAAATCCAGAGATAGGACTTTTTGCTTGTTTGTTTCAAGAGCATGGAATTTTTTTTTTTTTTTTTTTCCTTGCGTTATGCGGGCCTCTCACTGTTGTGGCCTCTCCCATTTGCGGAGCACAGGCTCCGGACGCGCAGGCTCAGTGGCCATGGCTCACGGGCCCAGCCGCTCCGCGGCATGTGGGATCTTCCCGAAACGGGGCACGAACCCGCGTCTCCTGCATCGGCAGGCGGACTCTCAAGCACTGCGCCACCAGGGAAGCCCAGTTCCTGAGACTTTTAACGAACACTTATCCTCTTGAAATCAAACTGAGTGGAGAAGCTGTGTTTTTTGGCACAAAAACACTGCTTGAGCTTTAGCTCACTCTGTCTTGAAGCAGGTGTCTGACTGAATCTCTTGAAGAAACTCGGACCTTGTAATAGTTGAGATAGAAAGCTGACCTAGAGAGAATGAATCAGAGGATCACTTTGGGAAGTTGTTTCTGAAAGAGAAACCTTTGGGGAACCTTTGGGTCAAATAATTTAAAGAAGAGAAAGTTCAAATTTGGTCACATGATTATTATTCAGTTTGTCGGATTTCTCCTGGGGTCATGATCATATTGATATTTGATGAGAGGTATGTTAATTATGGGTATTAGACTTTAAAAAAATTTTTTATTTTATATTGGAGTGTAGTTGATTAACAGTGTTGTGTTAGTTTCAGGTGTACAGCAGAGTCATTTAGTTGTACATACACGTAGATCCATTCTTTTTCAAATTCTTTTCCCATTTAGGTTGTTACGTAATGTTGAGCAGAGTTCCATGGATATTAGATTTCTTGTGACACATTCCGTATGCCCCATGTAGTTCACTTTGGCAGGGAGCAGTGCCCAGGAGGAGCATTGATCTTGATGGTCGCACAAGCATGCAGTTTACTTTTCTGATACAATATATAGTAGATGCGGGACAAAGCTATTCCAGAGTTCCTTTCACTCTGGAAACAACTGTATGTTAAGCCATTTGTATTAGGGATCTCCACAGAAACAGGATCAGTAAGGGGTGTGTGCGTGCGCATGTGTGTGTGTGTGCGCGTGTGTGTGTGTATCTATACAGGGGGTGTGGGGGAAGGGAGGGAGACTGATTGATTTTAAGGAACTGGCTTATGCGATATGGGGGCAGGTATGTCTGAAATCTACAGGGAACGTGGGCAGACTGGAGGCCAGGCAAGAGTTGCTGTTGTATCTTGAGTCCACAGGCAGTCTGGAGGCAGAAGGCCTTCTTCCTCTGGCGACTGCAGCCTTTTCTCTTAAGGTCTTTAATTGATTGGATGAGGCCCACCCACACAGAGGACAATCTGCTTTACTCAGAGCCTACTGACTTAAATGTCAATCATATCTAAAAAATACCTTCACAGAAACATCTAGATTGTTGTTTGACCGAAAACTGGGTACCATGGCCTACCCAAATTGGCACATAAAATTGACCATCCTTCCATTTATAATCTGAATGGACCATGTTCATGAGTAGTCAGGGCTCTATGTCATGTATCCACTAATTACTTTTCATACTTGAAGGACTCAGTAGTGTGGCTATTGTTGCTCACATTAGAAAACTAGGTTTGTTTTTCCACGAAGGACTTACCCACTAGGATACTGACAGATCGTTCTCCAGGGATATGACCAACCATCAATAACTGAGGTTTCAGTGAGCATGGTTGTGGGTAATTGTTGATTATAGTGTGAATATTCATTAGCTTAGCAAAGAGAATGGTAAGGGAATCTACAGATTATTGTCAAAATGAAAGACCTTTTAAAATCATGGTTGTAAAAGAGGATAAATAAATGCTTAAATGAGCAGATGTAATGAAATGCATTATGAGTTATGTAAATGTGATGCTGGTTTCCAAATAAGAACCACTTTATGTGGACACTGCACTTGGGAATTCAATACCAGGAAACCACATATTGCTACTTGTGCAAGTTGGAATGTTACCAATAGTTAATTCTACTATATCTCTTACCAAGTAAGAGCCACCAGATTAAAGAGGTTTCTTAAAAAATAACCGGAAGTAACATGACTAACCTCTCAGGATACATCATTGGCAAACTTAGCCATAAAGGACTCTTATGGCTATGACTCTATACGAGTTATAACCTGGTATATCAAGTTAAAATTAATCAGATCAAAAATCACCCACAGTCTTAGTGCTATTGTAGAATATCTATTCTCATCATCTGGGAAACTAAATGTGTTCCTCCAAGGAGAGAGAAATCTGGATCCCGTGACCTCCCAAGTTCTCTTTAACTCTCTGATGTTTTGTTTCTCAATGAGCTTTTCTGGTTCTATTCTCTTCCATGCCTGTTGCAGTTTCTGAAAAATTATTTAGAAAATAAAAGCCAGTAGTTGTGCTTCCAGGTAACCATCCCCTTCTCCATTGTGGTGCAAGAGCAGCCTTTGAAAAACAGATTCTCATGCAGCCTCCAGGAATGTCAGTGTAAAATTCCCCCTTCTGCCTTCATTTTAAAGTGGTGACAGTGGGTGAGGTCTCAGACCTGGAGGCTTGCTTCGTCAAGCCCTCTTATTTAAGTAAGCACTTTTGCTAAGTATAGCACTCATGTAGAAAAGTACACAAGTCACAGGTAAACAACTTGATGAATTTTTTAAAAAATGAAACCACCCATGTAATAACCCCCAGATCAAGAAATAGGACATTAATGACACTCTGGGAACTTCACTGGATCCCCCGACCTAGTCATTCTATCTTCTGTCACCACAGTTTGGTTTTGTCTGCATTTCAGCTTTGTGTAAGTGTAATCCTACTGTACGTATTCATTCTTCTGTGTCTCGCTCAACATTATGTCTTTAAGGCCTAAACTCATTATTACAGTAGTGTTTTTGTTTTTGGTTTTTTTCCCCATTGTGGTATAATATTGCATTGTATTATGCCCTCTGGCTTATTTATCCATGCTACTGTTGGTGGACATTTGGGTTTTTCCAGTTTGGGGCTATTACACAGAATGCTTCTATGTATGTATTTCTGCCCTGAAGCAGACTTGCTGGGTCACAGAATATGCATATGGTCATCAGCATTAGATATTTTTTCTCAAGTGATTGTATTAATTTATACTCCCACCGGCAATTATGAGATTTCCAATTATTCCACACCCTTTTCAGTTTTATCCATTTTAGTGTGTGTGTAACAATATCTTGCTAAGGTCTTCATTTGTATTTCTCTACTGACTAATGATGTTGAGTACCTTTTCATGTGTATATTGACCACTTGGATATGCTTTTTAAATCTTTTTTTTTTTAATTAGGTATTCTGCCTTTTTTTTTCTTTTACTGATTTGTATGCATTCTTTATATTGGAAACAAGACTCTTTATCAGAAATATATATTGCAAATAGAGTTTTCCAATATAGCTTACCTTTTGCTGTCTTAGTGGTATTTGGGGTAACAAAAGTTCTTCATTTTCATGAAGTCTGATTTATTGATCTCTTTATGGTTAGTGCTTTTCGCATCTGTGTAAGAAGGCTTCTACCCTAGGAGAGTCAGCTTTGCTAGAAAGCATTCAGGAGTTTGAATGTCTCAGAAGTCATCTGAGAACGCTTATCGTCACCTCCTACAGACCTATGGAGGGCTCAGCAGAGGCCCAGTTCTTTCCTTTGCTGTTTTTGAGCAAATGGAGGCTCAGGACTTCCAAATTCTCATGAAAGCAGATCTGTGAGGGGAATAGCAGTATGGCTTTTCCAAACCTCAGGGGCCTGAGGTAGGTAGCAGGAGAGAATTAGAACTATACCCCCAAGACACGAAATGAGGCTTGAGGATGGATCCTTGGAGAGGCTAAAAGGGTTATACAGATTTGGGGTCATTTGTGGGTAGAAATCTGCTTGGAATGACCCTTTTTAACCTGTAGCTATAAGACACTAGAAAACTGAATATTCTCCTGTCTGTAATACAGATGGTTTTGTATCACAAACTAGAAATGACTTTAATGGAAATCTGGCCCTTTTAGCTACAGAACTTCTCAAGGGCACAAGTCTGGCAGTTAGCTCTCAATTTTTAACTGGTTTAAAGCCAATAACTGCAAAATGTCTTTTTCAGTTATCTTTTGTGTAGTTTAAACTTGGAGAATTCAATAGGAAGTCACATTGCTCAAAGCTGGAGGTAATTTTCTGAGTTTTCTGTTTTTTTTTTAACTGCTATGAAGTAAGGTGCTGAATTACATAACTGATAATATTTTCCTCTGTATGGGATTTCAAGGAATGAATTTTACATGTTAATCTCACTCCTGATTCCATCTTTTTTAAAAAATAAATTTATTTATTGAATTTATTTATTAGTTATGGCTGCGTTGGGTCTTTGTTGCTGTGTGCGGGCTTTTACTAGTTGCAGTGAGCGGGGCCTACTCTTCGTTGCGGTGTGTGGGCTTCTCATTGCAGTGGCTTCTCTTGTTGCGGAGCACAGGCTCTAGGTGTGCGGGCTTCAGTAGTTGTGGCTCACGGGCATCAGTAGCTGTGGCTTGAGGGCTCTAGAGCACAGGCTCAGTAGTTATGCACAAGGGCTTAGTTGTTCTGTGGCATGTGGGATCTTCCTGGGCCAGGGCTCGAACCCGTGTCCCCTGCATTGGCAGGTGGATTCTTAACCACAGCGCCACCAGGGAAGCCCTCCTGATTCCATCTTAATTTTCCCATCCTTATTTCCCATTTTCTCTCATTTTTTCTCATCAAATTTTAAGTTTTGGTTATGCTACATTTATGTAAAACACTAGTTCTGAGATAGGGTATGACATGAAATAAGTGCTTGGAGTGCTTGTTCTTTTTTTTTTTTTAATTGCGGTACCGCGGGCCTCTCACTGCTGTGGCCTCTCCCGTTGTGCAGCACAGGCTCCGGATGCTCAGGCTCAGCAGCCATGGCTCACGGGTCCAGCCGCTCCACGGCATGTGGGATCCTCCCGGACTGGGGCACGAACCCGTGTCCCCTGCATCCACAGGCGGACTCTCAACCACTGCGCCACCAGGGAAGCCCTGATGTGGTATTTTGTTTGTTTGTTTATTTTGGCTGCACTGTGCGGCATGGGGGATATTAGTTCCCCGACCAGGGATGGAACCCTCACCCTCTGCAGTGGAAGCGCAGAGTCTTAACCACTGGACTGCCAGGAAAGTCCAGTGGTTGAGCTTAGAAAAAAGTGGAATCAATGTCAGACTGGAAGCACTTTTTTTTTTTTAAGTAATGATGTGGTATTTTTATTTTTATTTTTTGCGGTACGCGGGCCTCTCACTGTTGTGGCCTGTCCCCTTGCGGAGCACAGGCTCCGGACGCGCAGGCTCAGCGGCCATGGCTCACGGG